TCCTTCTTTTGTCCGATCAAAAAAGCAAGTGTATAATAAACGAGTGTAAGGATTTAAAAAATTGATATTAAAAAATGAAATATATTTTATGATATTAAAAAAAAAAAAGAGAAAGAGAAAGGGAGATGGAGAGAGAAAAAATGAAACTATTAAATAAAGTACAATTGGTAGAAAATGTTATACGCATATTTTCAATGCATTTTTTTTTTTTTTTATATATATATAACTTTTTTTCTACAAGTCTAGAGGAAATCGGTTGATCTTTCGTGTTGATGAAAAAAATTTTCATAGTTGTTTCTTGCGTTGACGATGGTATATATCTGAAAATAAATTTACAAAAAAAAAACGTAATGTTTAATTAATCATCGAAATTTTATTTCCAACGAATTTTACCTCTTTATCTTTTCTTTTCATTTTTCTTTTCCCTAGAAGTTTTCACGATGTTGAAGAAGAATAAATCTACAAATGAAAACAAAAAATCATAATAATAATAATAATAATAATAATAATAATAATAATATAATAATATTATTATATAAAATAGAAATAAATCATAAGGATAGAGTTATAGATTTTCTTTCGAAACGATTTAAATTTTAATTCGACCTATCACAAAATTGTGGGATATATTTTTTCAATGGGAATAAATCAAAAAAAAAAAAAAAGAAAAAAACAACAAATGTTCGTTTAATTCAATTTAAAATGATTCTTTTTTAAAATACACATGCACACACGCACGCACGCACGCAAACACAGATAAAAAAAGATAGATAAACATGTAGATACGCGCATGTTTGCAAATTTGCCTATTTACACAATATCAATATAATAATAATAATAATAATGATAATTTAATTTTTTTTTAGATATACATTTTAAAATTGCATTAAAAAAGTTTGCATTTTGGTGAACCGTGGCATTAGATAAATGTTGTGTCGATGATATAGATGACATCGAAAATAGATTAACTTTGTAAATTTGAAAAAACACATATTACAGTACGCTACAGTGTCTTGTTTCTCCAATCTGAAACTAAATATAAAAATAATTACGTTAGAGAAAGAAACGTCATGATATTTGTTTATTATTGGTTTTTTTTTTAAAGAGATATCTACGTTTTATGTATTTAATATATTACAAATTTGTGTTTTTTTTTTTGGGGGTGGGAGGGAGGTTAAAACTTCGTGCATGATAAACAAATAATTACAAATATATTATATATATATTATTCTTATTAATATTTTATTTCTTTTTATTAAGAATTTTTAATTCTTATAAAAATTATTAATACTTATCGTCCTGTTATCTCTAACTTTACAACCTTCTTCAATGCATTTGTTGTTCTTGCAATGTCCAAATTTCATGCAATCATTTTAGCAGTTCTCCTAGTGGTCTCGTTGTTCCTATTTTTCTTCTTTTTGCCATTTTCTGGAGTCTATTATCATCCCTCCTGTCAACATGATCTCACCATTCTCTTCTATTCCTTCTTATCCACCTTACCAACGTCTTGTATCTCACATTATTTCCTTATTTCTTCATTTCTTCTTCTGTTTCTTGTTAGTGAACTCCTTGTTATGGTTCATAGAATCTTCATCTCTCAGTTTTTAGGATAAGTTTTGTTGTCATGGACTCAGCTGCATAGTTTATTATCTGCCTAATGCAAGTTTTGAAGGTTTTAGTTGTTGTTTGTTCCTCTTATCTTCTCTTTTAGGTTTCTGTTGCACATAATGTTCACTCCTAGATATTTAAATCTCATCACTTGGTTGACACTTTTGTTATATACTACTAACTTGTATCTTCTGAACTTTTTGGAAATGGTAAGTGGTGATTCGTTCTTCGGTACAAAGCTTTTCGAATTTGTATAACATTCTTTTGCAAATTGTCTTCATTTTCCGATATAGCATCGTTTCGGTGTAGCATATTATTTTTTTTTTTATTTTTTACCTAACTTGACTCCTTCTCCAACTGTTTTCACCTCCTTGATTATTTCGTTTTTGTCCCAGATAATTACTAATTATATATTTTTTGTTTGTTTTGTTTTGCAGAATAAAAATATTCCCATTGGTATCATTGACAAAAACAGAATGGACAATAGGAAGTAAATATTATTAAGTTGGTCATTATAATTTTTAACACATATATCCGAAACGCACAATGGATTTATTTAATAATTGTATTTAATCAATTTTCACACACACACATACACAATCTATTCTTCTATTTATAATTATGATAAATATCTCTTTTTTTCAGCAACGATGCACACAGAAACCGCTAGGGAACATTTAATGTGTGTCGATTGATTTTTAATTATTTTTTATTTAAATCCAATTAACCCATAATATAAAAAAAAGGGTAATAATATTAAAAGGAAGAGTAACCGGGATTGTTATTAAGAAATGAAAAAACAAAAAAATAAAGAACCTAGAGAACAAATATTTTTTTATATATTACTTTTTTTTTGTTGGTATGTAAATCCAGTTAATAGGCGTAACATAAAAATAGTAATAATATTAAAAGGAATAAATTAACGGGTATTATTATTAAAAAAGAGAAAAAAACAAAACAAAAGTCACAAAACAACACATATAACGAAAGAAATATTTTTCCTAGATATGTCTCGTTAGTTTTCACTCGTTAAAACATCACGATTAACTAACAAACAGAACGTACGAACGAACGAACGAACCGATCGAATGAATTAATGATATTTTCATAATACAGTTGACCTTATGCGTCGACATTAGCGATAATAACTAAGTCACGAAGACACACTAACGTTTATTTAGTTTTCATGATAACAACGAGTTTAATCATTTTGTTTTTATTTAAAAAAAAAAGTTTAACCGATAAACCTACCATAAAATACTAATGATAATTTTATTTTAACGGATAATCTTTAAATATGAGAATACGTAATTTACGATAAAAACAAAAACAAAACAAAAAATAAGCGAAGAGTAAATAGTAAATGCAGTTGATTTCTTCTCCCCTTTTTTTTTTCTCTTATTTCGTGTTGCATCCACTGCATTACTTTATTTATTTAATTTTTCACTTTTCATTTTCTTCTTCTTTATTTTTTATTTATTTATTTATTTATTTATCTCTCATATGTGTGTGCGTGTGTACGTTTGCTTTTATTTTTATTATAAACTATCATAAATGCCGCATATATATAATTTTTATTTTAAATTTGCTCACGCCAATATATTTGTCCTTCAATAATCATTCATTTCAATTAATTTAATGCGTAATCATTAACAGTTTGTTTATATATATATATATATGGGATTGGAAAAAAATTCATAAATAAAAGTGTGAATAAATATAAAGTCAAGAAACGTTACGATATGAATGTTCGAGAACGATCATTATTAAATATATATGTTATTAATTCGAGAATAAGTAAAGATGTTTTTCTAGTAGGTAAAACTATAAGAAATGTTGTTCTCTGTTGTTATATGGTGTAAAGAAATGAGAGAGTATGAGTGCATGCGTGTGTTTAGCATGGATGCGGAAGGATACGAGAAGCGGTGATATAAAAAAAGGAATAAAAAGGAGAGAACGATATAAGATAAGATATAAAACAGTTTAAAAGTTTAAAAGATAGAAAAGTTTAAGAATTTAGAGAGATCGAGAGTGAAAAAGTGGGGTTACGAAAAATATTCTACATATATATATCAGACTTTAATTAAAAAAAATATTTTATATCATTGATAACATAATAAAAAGATAATGAATAGAAAGAAATGAATAGAAGATAACAAAAAAATAAGTCTTTATCACTAACAACTTATCAATTTGCACATAAAATATTTATTTCACTCACACACTTTTCCCTCTTTATTGTTAAATTATTAATTTAAACAAAGAGAGAGAGAGAGAGAGTGAGAGTATGTATTTATGTGTATATATAAATAATTAGAAACGTTCATTTTTTGTTGAATACATTGAATTCACACAAGACGATTTGATTTTTTATTTAAACGAATGTTCGTAGCACCGAAAAATAAGCCATTGAAGTTTTTAGAACCTACAAACGAATATTTGTTACGTATAATAAAAGAAAAAAAAAAGCTTTAATTATTTGTTTACAACATAATTTGTGTAAAAACAGCTTACATCTGTAAATGTATTCAGTGATAACGTACAAAATTTTCCTGACGTCAGTCGCATAAATTTTGTTGAACGCATCATACAAATGTGCATCAATTGTTTTTCTGTTCTTGTGATGTCGTACCAATTGCAATGATAAAAAGCATCACCCAGAATAGAACTCTAACAAAATTTCAAATATTTCAATAGGACAAATATTGTTTATGATGGAACACTTTAATAAAAATAAAATACTTCTTTTATGAGACATTCTCCCATGTAACAATAGGCCAATAGTGTACTGAAAACGCAGCTGACGATTAAAAAAAACGCGAGTAGCATTCTCCCTTCTCCTTCGGCCGTACTCTGAAAACAATAAAATCTATAATTATTTATACGATTTTTTACATTAATTATAATATATGATTTCGATTGATTTATGAATTTATTGTTAACATCTGAGAGAATCATTATTTAATATACTATTTTCTCTATACTTTTTTAATAATAATATTTGTTTGGGTTATATTTAGCCACATTGGGGAGGAATTTGTATTTCGCATCGCAAAGATTCAATAAGCGTGGCGCTGATGATCAAACAATGGCGCCCAGAGCAAAGGGGGGCCTTGTGTTTGGGCCTTATGCACGCACAGGACACTTACTTTCGTTCCAGATTACTAGCTGGCTAATAAAATCGGTCGTGCGAATTTACGAAAAACATGCATTAAATATACATTACCCAATCTTAGTAGATATTTTATAATATGCCCCAGACAATCTATACAATATCCAGAATCAGTAGATTGATCATAACATATATAAATATTTCATTCATAGCAATGCCAAGGAATTACTGACATTCCAACATATATATATATATACATTCTTTTTCCTTAGTATCAATATTACTCTTGAATTATTTCAAAACTTACTGCAAGAGTATCATATCCCAAAAGACAAAGTTGAAAAGTATTTCCTACTAATTGTTGCAAAATCACTAAATTAAATTCGTCTTCTAGAGATTCTGATAATCTGAAACACATATATATACGAGCTCGTGTGTGATTGGTAAATATAAAATTGACAATTACAAAAAAAAAAGAAAGAAAGAGAAATAAACATTTTTATTTTTCACCTAATTAATCGAACGTGTCTAACAATTAGATTTTTCATACGACGTTGTCGATCTTGCGGATCATCCAATACATGTTTTACCTTACAAGAGAGTGCAGAAAACAATCCACTGACATGAAGTACTAAACTAACAAAAAGACAATCGGTACCAACGTAACCAAAGACAATACTAGGTATTATTAAAAATTGATAACAACAAAGACAGACGTATGTTATCACATCAGTAGGCTCGATTAAAAGCCAAACTCTATACGGTAATCTGTATCCATAAGATGAATTAGAAATTACTGGAACATTAATAAATGAATATTTTTAGTATAATGTTTAATAAAACGAGAAATATATTAAAGAAATTAATAAAAATTGTGACCATTTGATATCTTAAGCGAGTCTTTTGAAAATATATCAAATGTACACAGAGAAAAATTCTTTTGTTATATTAAAAACTGAACGATTTTAAAAGACAGTCATACTGTATATAGAAAACATATTCTTGTCAATATCTTTTTAATAAATTAACTTGTTTACAAAATAATTGTTTTATATCAAAAAAAATAGAAAAAAAAGGAAATAACATTTAAATAAAATATTAAAATATATAATATTTATGTGATAATTAACCACAGTAACAATATAAATTCCTTAATCGTTAAGATATTTTTAAAAATCACAAAATAAATAGACTAGATCTTTTTTCGAAACAATCATAATCTGTTGCCTAATTAAAATTACACGTAGAATAAAATGAAAATGTAAAAAAAGCATAATTATTGATGCATTGATTAGATATAAAACTCATTACCCATTTCTACATTCGTCACCAAAGACATGAAGTAATACGATGAAGCTGCTGCAAAACATATGATCAAGGTCAATCTTACAAATTTCTGACTGAATTTGTTGTAATTTAAAAAAGCCATTTGTTCGTCTCTGCTTTTATAATTATCAATGATAAAATCTGTTCTGATGTCTTGTAAAAGTTTCGTTAATGATTTTCTCTTAATCCTACAAATGCATATCTTCAAAAGAGCCATCAGGTTGAATACATTTTCCAATAAACACGCAACGATATATGTTAAATTTGATATATTCATCGCAATATCAATGATCGCTAATGAACAATGAATAGCCAGATACGTTGTGAAGAATATAAATTTTGATTCCTGAACTTCCTCTGGCCAAATTCCAGCACATCTCATTGTACGTCTCGTCAAATCTATCACTCTCACAGTTTCACTGAAGTCAAGATCCTAAAAAATGATATCCCTTACGGATTTTGAAAATCGCCGATTTAAAATCCTATCAATTTTTCATATGCAAAATAATAAATAACATATTTGATCGATTTATTTTTACATACAACAAATAACTTTTTTTTCTTGATTATTATTATTACTATTATTATTATTATTATTGTAAATGATTCTATATCACTGAATTATACTGAAACAACTTTCGAACTTTTCGTACTTGCATGATTTCGTAACAACTTGAGCTTTTCTCGGAAGCTCGTAAAGAACTAAAGAAAAAGATCGTTTTCAACTATTCAGGTAAACTCGGTTTTTTTTTTTTGGACGTAGATAAAAGAAAAGAAAAAGGAAATGGAAAAAACTTATTTTAGTTCTTTCTTTGATCGAATAACTTTCTTTCTAAATATCTAATATAAATGTCCGAAATGAAAAGACTTATACAAAATTGTATTATTTTTCTTTATGCTCAAAAAATTGTATTTCTTTTTAATGCGAGCAACGTATTATAATAAATAATTCGTAAAATTTCTTCAGAGACCAGACAGTAGCAAACTTCTTCAACGCGTTCACCTCAAATATAATCATATTATTTTGAAAAAACTTTTCGTTATCCCGATAAAAATTATAGAAACTTTCAAACATAGTAATATTTAATAAACTTTATGTATCACAAAGACCCTACGTTTTTATTCGTTTAATTAATCGATAAGGATCTTAAAAATTTATGGTTTCTCGAACGAGAAACTCGCAATGCTATTTCTTCTATTAGCTCTCCACTATTATTATTATCTTTCTAAGTAAAAGCTATGCATTCATTATTTCTAATATCTCATATGTTTTTTTAATTTCTCATTGGCTTCGTATATCGTTTATATGATTGCGAAAACATTTATATATGTGCCGTTTATTTTGAAAATGGCGTAAGTCCATTTATGTTCGAATCGAGATATTGAAGATTTTGCGTTGGATTACATTTAAAAGTATGCATAATTAGCAATATTTAAGAAATAATAAATGTAATTAGTAATATCTAGTAATATCGGTAGGCGGCATTTGACTATCACCAAGCCATCTACTGATAAAATATAGATATATCCTTTGTTGATCGTGTTGAAAATATCTATTATGAAAAGTACGTGTCACATAGAGATGCGTTTAACAAAAAGATGGTAAGGATTTTGTGTAGTATAATATTCAATTATTTATTTACAAAATATGATCACATTAAACATTAATATCTACATATTTTGTACCACGTAAATAGTAGATAGAACCGAAATAAAAACATTGTAGCAAGATTTATCGATAAATATATATAAAACTATTATATGTACACTCCCCAGAGACAATCTGCAATCCAAGACAACTGCATATGACATTCAGAGTTTTTACACTACCATTATCATAAGATGAGAAATTAAAGATAGCACACGCGTGCTATCTTTTTGTCTAGGAGTGTATATATTTTCATGGAAAATAAATTATATGTAAGTAATATATATTGAAGTTGCTTATTTTGTAAAAGTGTTCGATTAATTCGATAATGAAGTAAAATAAATGTATCAGTATTTATTATTTTCACAACAGCTGTGTATTGTAATAATCCATATGGCTTAATTGCATCGTAGTGCTAGTTTACATAATGATGTATATTTGTTTTTTACGATAAATTCGAAATCTCACACTCTCTCCCTCTCTTCAATGTTTTATTTTCGATATACTAGTCCTAAAAAAAGAAAAAGAAGTATTTAGAAATTTGTCGATATTCGCAAATAATATAAAATAATACAATGATATATATTAAATAAAAAAGAATATTTACGTCTGTATTTGTTTACTGCCACTGAGAACTATATATGGTGATTGAGTTTCTTTTTGCTTTGCTTGTAATAGATTAAGTGTTCCCAAAGGTGTATCCGTCGAAGACATTCTTTTCATTAAAACTTCTTGTTCAGCTTTCTTCATACGCTTTTCCACCTGTATCAATATTTATATTATAAATATTTTTCTTTTAAAAATTCATTCATTCATACAGAACATAAAATTTAATAAACTACCTTATTCTTTCCAGGTCCTTTTCCATGAAATTTATGTGAAAGGTAGCGAAAAGCTTCCTTAGCACTTAAAACATGTCCATCATCATCTATATACTCCAATTTAACATTTGGTTTAAAACCATCTTTCTCTTTAAAATCTGACGTAGGGCCATTGAAACGATCTCTTCTTCCAAATTTATCATCGTCTCTAAAAAGAAAAAAGAAAAAAATAAGTAACATGCATGCATTGAATGCATCAAAAATTGTGAAATTATGCTACACGATTAAAAAACAATTTTTAAAATTCATTAAAAGCTTCTTTCTTGTTTCTTATCTTCATCATTCTTCTTCATCCCTTAACAATGTAAAAGAAAATGCAAAAGAAAAAGAAGCCATACATACCCATACGTTTTGTCTTCTATAGAATAATTCTGAGCTTGTAAATGTGCAAAACGAGAAGCAGATGGCCTGTTACTGTCTTCTTTTTGTAAATATCCCTTACTCATTGCTAATTTTAGTGCCCCGCCAACGCCTTGGCCAAGGGATGGCTCTGCATCTAGAATTGCAGCTTCCAGAGCTATAGGCTCCGTTTTACTTTCATCTGAACACGCGATATAAAGAGAAACAGAAAGAGAAATAGAGAGAGAAAGAGAGAGAGTGAGATTATTTATGTAAATATAAAAAATTGTTATGGTATAATATAAACAGTAAAAAATAAATACCCAAATGTACAGTATTCCATGCACCACGACCATCATCTTCTTCTTCGTCGGAAACAATTTCATCTTTGATTCCATCTACCTCAAAGTCCTGTATAAAGAAAAAATGAAAATAAAAAAAAAAGAGGGAATATAAATATTTTATATTAAAATAAAAAATGTGGGGGGGAAAAAAAAGAAAAATGAAGAAGGTACCATAAGTTCTTGTCCATTTTCTTCCCTATTACCAGCTAGTCCATACGTAGGAATGTCTCCTAAAGTTCTACAAAATTCTGCAGTAGCATTAAGAACTATGTTCGTAGATTGATTTTCATCCGCAACCGTTGACTCTTGCTTAGCATTTTCTATAACATTTTTCGCATTCGTCTCTTGTAATTCCTTTAAGCGGTGCGCTTTCTTTAAAGCCATTTGCAATTCTAACTCCTTATCGTCGTCCTCAAATTTGATTCCTGTTAAATCTTCTTTGGGACCTGTTCATAAAAAATACATTCCAATAATGCTAAATATAATGAATGGCCAAATAAATGATATTTAACAAAGTTATATAGAAAAAAAAGAAAGATCAAAGTAAGCATATACCTTCTAAATCATCTACGTCCAAAGTACCGTCGTTTTCTCTGTTGTCTTCGATCTTTTTACTTCTTCTACTTCCCAAATCCCGTAGATAATCATTTTCTTCAGGAACCAGATCGTCTGCCTTCAATTTTTTTTTCGTTCTTATTTTTCTAATCTAAATAAGGAAGAATGAAATGAATTAATACCAAGAGTATAACATTTAGCTAACATAACGTTTAGTAACGCAACACACTAATTAACTATAATTATTTGGAATTGAACCTTTTTCTTTGGTTTTTTAAACTTTTCCAATTCTTGCTCGCTATAATATTCACTAGCTAATTGTGGTTCTCTTGTTTGCAATGATTCTAACTTTTTATTTGCTAAACGATGTTTAACAATTTCTGAACGACGTTGCTTTATTTCTACTGGATTATAAGCACCCAATACAAAGTTATCCTTTTTTTCTCCTTCTATTTCCTCATCATATTTATCTAAAATGTTCTTCTTCGACATCCCAAATTCATCTAAATGATCATCCTCGTACGCATTATAAACAATTTTTTTCGTTTTATTAAGAACATTTCGTTTATATCGTTCGTCATCTATCATATTCACATTTACAAGCACGTCGCTGTTTTCGTTTAATATATTTTGATCTTTCAGGGTTAAAACCATTCCTTTGCCTTCTGTAATACTTTCCTATGGAATTTCAAAAATACATACTTTTAATCCCTGATAAAAGAATATGTATAGTCTATTTAATATTATCAAATAATGACTCACTATATCGTGTTCCACCATCATACCCTTTAAATCTTTTTCCGTATAGGCCTGATTACGTGAAATGGATATTTCTTCTTTAAGAAGATTCCCAATTCCAAATTCTTCGTCCAACTGATCCAACATTTTGGCCTGAAATAGAAATTAAATGAAATTTCATTTAATGATCGTTTCTGTGTAAATATAGTATATAAATCTAATTACAAAAACCAATGATTACCCTTTCTTCAGCTTTTTTCTTCTCTTCCTGTAAACGTCTACTTTTATCGATCCAAGCTTTTGTATCGTCATCAGAATCATCTTCTCCTAATGATTTGATTTTTGCTAAATTAGCCTCAATCTGTCTCTTTTGTTTTTGAATATTAATTTTTTCCTTTAATTTGTGTGTTTTCAATTGATCATTAGCATTTGGTGCTGGTTTATGATAAAATTCACCCAAATCATCCTTAATTTTGTTAGGATCATCTTTCGATACGCTATCAACTTCTAAAGGTTTTAAACCTAACTTTGCTCTAAGCTTATTCGTTTCCTCAATAGATAAAGAGCTTTGCGACATGCCATCTTTTATAGGAGATGGACTACGCTGTTTGGAAATCTCTGGTGGAGGTGGTGTCGAAGGATGCGACAATCTTGAGATTTTTGGTGGTGGTGGTGCATTGACAATTTCCACTGTAAATATTAATGTAAATTTAACCATTACCGTGTAATATAATATACAAATATATCTATCCATATATATTTTATATTTCTAGACTATTTTTAATATTAGAACACAAAATCCGGACTTTGGTAATATTTAATGTATTATTTATTTGAAATAATAATTATGTGTATATAATGCTTATATATATATGATAAAAAGTAAAAAATGAAAGAAATTTCACCATCGCTATCGTAGTCCTTGCGTTCTTTCCTTTTATGTTTCTTGTGATGTCTATGCTTATCTACTTTCTCACGTTCTGGTGTATGACTTCGTGAACGGCTACGATGACGTTTTTTCTTAATATCGCGACTTTTTTCTGCTTTATGCCGTTTGTTCGAACCCATTTTGATTTGCAATTAAAGAACAAGAAATAAAACCAACAAACCTAACCACTACAAATTTCGACATGTAATTAACTATATAAAAACAGCAAATAATAAAAGTACAAGACTGGTAACTTAAGTATTATTTTTCCCTAAAACATTTATCCCCATTTATTTGAGCTTTCCTCGAATTCCGCTAGAAATTATTACGATCGTTCTTCATAGATAGAAGATAGAATCCGTAAATCTTCGAAGATCTCGGTACCTAGAATATAATAATGTTCGTCAATGAAGTGGGTATAAAAAACTTCAAACTATTTTTATTAGCAATTAAATTGGGGACAGTTTAAGTAGGGAAGTTTCAAAAGAAGAGAACGAATAATTTGAACAATTTGAAATAAGCGCCATTCACGCGCGCCACTCCGACATAGCGTAGAAAAACAAAAGCTGAGAGTACTGGGAGAGTGTTAGTCAATCGTGAGTTGGTTATACTGATACCATCTACGTTAGAAAATATTATAAAAGTGAAGATGGCAATAGAGTGTGGTATACGTATTTTATTTTATATCATTTTCTCTGTTTTCATATTAAATTCATGCGACGGTGCAGCGACAGATATTGAATTAGATGCTAAGGCTCAATTATTACATAGACTCGATAGTTTGAATCTTCTTCTTTATACATTTTTGTTAATATTAACTGTATTAACTATATGGACATTCAAGCATCGTCGACTAAGATTCCTCCATGAAACTGGTTTAGCCGTCATTTATGGTAAGAATAATACATTTCTCATAAGTCAGAACATTTCATTCTTACTTAAATATTATTATCACTGTTAATTGATATTTAATAAAAGAAATAAACGATACGACAGTATTATCGAACATTAAATATCTTTTATAATTTTACTGTCATCCTATTCTTAACTGTCAAACGTCTTTCATAGATCTTGACTGATTATGTTTTATGCAAAATAAAACACTTTATTAGTCTCTTTGTATTTAGGAATAATTGAACTACATCATCATTTTTGTAATTGCGTCATGGTTGCACTCGACGTCATGTACCCGTATATATCTATATATGTGTACATGCATACACATATATACACTTATTAAATCATTTTATCAAATTTTCTTCTCTCTTTCTCTCTTTAAGGATATTATTATATACATAGTAGAACTTTGACTTTATTTTATAAATCTCTTTCTTAAACAACTTTTTATATTAATGCATAAAGTATTATTTTCAATCTTATATAAAAATGCAAACGTAACATAATACATTACAATATTATATAAGGATAAATATAATCCATAAAGTTGCTTGTATATTTTAACATATGTTTAACATATTTATTATATATGCAAATAATAGCCTAAGCAATCTTTACATCGATTATTGCTGAAATTTCTACATTTATATGTATATTTTGTAGGATTGATCATAGGTGCAATCATTCGTTATGGATTTACAACAAATAGTGCTATACTACATATGCCAGTTGTACCAGATAACAGTAGTAAATATAATCAGTCAGTACCTCCAGATACATTATGGTTGCGTTTTCCTGAAGACAAAGGTGGTGGTTTAATTAAAAATAAAACATTCGCTTATACTTTTCGTGGAGAAATTTATAAGGAAGACAATGAGATTGATTTGAAGGTAAACTTTAGTTATTTTAATGAATATCACATTTATGGATACTATATTTTATATTTTCATTACAGGCTACTTTTGATCCAGAAATATTCTTTAATATTATACTGCCACCAATCATTTTTCATGCTGGATATAGTTTGAAACGGGTGAGTAATATTATTTTGTTATAGATTAACCGTTTGAGTGGAAAAGATGTTTAAAAAAATTGTGTCAACAAATACTAAGCAGCGTGACAAGAAATCTGAACAGAACAATCGCCCAACTTGATAGTCAAACGGTTACATGACTTCTGATATGAACACACATACGCATATTTATACTATTCTGTTTCAGAAATATTTCTTCAGAAATTTAGGAGCAATTTTAATGTATGCTCTGCTTGGAACATCGATATCAGCATTTGTCATTGGGTAATTATTAATATATACAATTTTTTAGTTGAGAATCTCAAATCATGTTATATTATATTATAATGAATTATGTTTTTCTTTTCAGAGCATTGATGTATGCGTTCATACAATTGATACCGCATCTTTCTACATCGTTTACATTTTTGGATACTTTATACTTTGGTGCTCTAATATCTCCAACAGATCCACTGACAATAATTTCTATTTTTAATGATCTGCACGTAGATGTTAATTTATATGCTTTGGTATTTGGAGAAAGTGTACTTAATGATGCAGTCGCTATTGTTCTCAGTGGGTATGTATATTGTAAATATTTAAACTTTCTCCTTCAAGTATTAGATATAATGAAAATTGTATTTTATCTTCTCTACTATTCCAGCTCGATACAAAATTATGCTGAACGTTATCAGTCTGGATCAGGAGGATTCGAAACGGTAGCATTCTTCCAAGCATTTGGCGATTTTGTTGGTATTTTTAGTTTATCTCTATTCATTGGTGCTACCATGGGATGTATTACTGCATTGTTAACTAAATTTACTAGAGTTAGAGATTTTCCTCTCTTAGAATCAGCTCTATTTGTCTTAATGTCCTACAGTACATTTTTAATTGCAGAAGCTTCAGATCTTACAGGTAAAAATAAATTATTGCTTAAGTAAATATAACACTTTAATAATTGGAGATTTTTGATCAGAAAACATATAAATATGTTATATTGCGTTTATAGGTGTGGTTGCTGTTTTATTCTGTGGCATTTGCCAAGCACATTATACATATAATAATTTAAGTCCAGATTCTCGTCAACGAACGAAGCATCTGTTTGAATTATTAAATTTCTTAGCTGAAAATTTTATATTCAGTTATATCGGTGTATCGATGTTTACCTTTCCAAAACATCACTTTGATCCAGGCTTCATCTTTGCTGGCTTTGTATCCTTTTCAAAACTATGAATATAAGATTATAATAAATGTACGCGCATTTGTTTATATAACTACATATGTAACATGTAATATCCTTAACTATATTACAATAGTTTTGTGCACTCTTAGGTCGTGCTGCCAATGTTTATCCTTTATCATTCATATTGAATTTAGCACGAAAACCAAAAATTTCAATGAATTATCAACACATGCTTTTCTTTGCTGGTTTACGTGGAGCTATGAGTTTTGCTCTTGCGATTAGAAATACTGTGTCTGATGCTAGACAAGCTATGCTAACTACAACAAGTTTAATTGTAATCTTGACAGTGATTTTACAAGGCGGTGCAACAACTCAATTCTTAAGTTGGTTCAATATACCGTAAGTGTCAATTAACAGTATTGCATATTTGTTTTATTTTTTTAACATCTATAACTTCATCCTAATTTTTTTTTTCACAGCGTTGGTGTAGATGAAGAAATAGAAGGATTATCACAAAATGGAGTACGTAGTGTAAGTACATTCATTTATTCAATCTAATATAATTTTATGTTGATATGTCTTTACACCTCATAATATCGTTATAATATAATAAATGCAACACTGTAATAACATTTAAACCAAAACATTATTTCATATGAAGTTATAAATATTCATTGAAATGAATGTGTATCTTTAAAAAAAAAAATATCATTTAATTTCTATTTGTATTTAATATTTATGAAATGAGAAAGAGAGACATATTTAAGAAAGCTACATATAATTCCATGGAATTTGCAGCTAAAATAAACTTGATCATTTTTATTTTAATAATTGCCATTGACAATATTTTATAGTATACATCATTTTGATATACATATTGCATAATACAAATTGCTTATATTATAATAGTATTTTATTTGAGATTAAACTTTAGCATATTTTTCTTCTTGTCGCATAAGTTGCTGTAGATCTTAGTAACTCTGTACAAAGTACAATTATATTAATTGTAATACGTGTTACAAAACATATAGTTGTGCAATGTAAATTACAAGTTATGTTAGAGAAATATAAAAACTTGTCCTTTGGAACTTTACTATTTGGATGTAGAAGTATCTATGCATGACAGCTTTAACTTGCATCATGTTTACATTATTCTTTCATTGGATCTTATTCATCCAGGTGTACAATTCACTGGACACCATGGAGGTGTGTATTATTTCATGCATATAAACTGGTAACTTTTAAACATTGATGCATAGAGTCATATACCAAGTTAATAAATGTTTTCTAGATAAAAATTTATACGCCTAATATCAGTGTTGAATATATAAAAAAAAAAAAAGTAAATTTAAAAAAAAATGATTAAATATCTTTCTCATTATTAGAAGGAAACAAAATAATCCGTGCGCAACTCATTTATATTTCGTTTTAACAGCATGTATTAATTTTATTTCTTCTCTGTTTTTTTTTTTTTTTTTTTATTTAAATTTCCCTTTTCTTTTAATTTTATTTTGTATTACACAGCATGCAAATAACATTATAAAATTAATATCTTATTAATATTAATGGATAATTGCACTTTAAATAATTAATCTAGACAATGCAGTTGTTTAACTTGCTAATATTGATACATTGATAGTCTGGTGGCGAAGGTGGCTTTGGCGATCTGGACATGCGTAGGGAAAGAAGTCCTCCGGTATGTTTGCACAGAAATTTAAAGATTCTTTGCAATTTTATAAATATTAATAGATTAATAATTATTACATTCAAGTATATTGATCTATTGATTATTTAATGCACAAATAGTAACAATGATTGTCCATTAAAATCATATAAACACTCATACATAAACAAAATTAATATTGAAAGCAAGTTAATTAAATAATTGTTGCTAATTTATGTATTGCACGCAACAGCGATATATAACATTGAGAAACATACAACAGATTATTATTGTAAATATCTTTTTACAATAATCCTGCTTCTTTATAATTCCTATTTATATTATTAAACACAGTCATATTAGAGAGTAACTTACGAAATTTAAATAGCTCTAAATTTTTGCTATTTGCATGTGCTTTTTATTTTTATTTAAAGCGGTTACTTTTGTTATCCATTCTGTATGTCAAGGTAGTAATACAGAAAAAGTAAACAAATTTGTATTAATATGTATACATGTGTATATGTATTTGTATATGTATACATGTATCCAATGAAATTTAATTTAAAAAGTAATATGTTTAACAAACAAGTTAATAAGTTGAATTAACATAAATAATTTTTATTTAAATCTTGTAACAATTATAATGTATTTTAACTTTTATATAAACATATACATATATATATATGTATACATAACTAAAGAATAAAAAGATAAATGTACGAGCATGTTTTAATGACAAACAATATAATTTGAATGTAACAAATAACGAAGTAACATTTGTAATATTAAATTAAAAGGACTAATTTTTATATTCTAATTAAAAAAAGCTATAGAAAACTTTGTAGAAGATTTGATAAATTTCTATGAACACATAGCTATAAAAAAAACTAAATATTTATAATAATGTAATACTTACATTTATTGCATTAACTTTTTATTATAATTTAATTTAATTTATTTTGGTTGTACCTTATCTTTAAAAAAAAAAAACATTATATGATCATACAGGGTGGATAACAAAAATGTTATTCAAATTTCACAGTATAATTCTATGCAGGATGGATCAGTGCCAACCAGTGCAAAACCTAATGAGAAAGCATTGCTCGCTAGAATATGGGGTGATTTTGACACACGATATATGAAACCACTATTAACACACTCTAGGCCTACCTTGTTAGAAACATTACCAGTGTGTTGTGGTCCATTAGCAAGGATTCTTACAACGACGCAACAAATGACACAGGTATAAAACATATATTAACGACTTACAATTATAATCATTTAAATAATACTTTTATCTCTCTCTCTCTTTCTCTCTCTCTCTCTCTCTCTCTCTCCCTATTTCTTTCTCTTTCTCTCTTTCTTACCGTAGGATGATGTTTCAAGAAAAATTGATTCAGATTCTGACTTTTGTCTGGAAGATCGTGAAATGGAACGAAGAAGGATGAACGTACAGCCGGTGAGTTTCCATCAACCTAATCTCAATTACACAGTTAATCCGTGCTATCAACTTAACAGCACCGATGTCACTAACTTTGATGAACCATACGTAATTCTTAACTTAAATAGAAGATAGAAATAACACAAGAAATCTTATTTCTAATATCTCTCTCTCTCTCTCTCTCTCTCTCTCTCTATCTCCTTCTCTCTCTCACTCTTTCTTTCTCTTTCTCTTTCTCTCTCTTACTCTCTCACTCTCTCTAGCCTCTGTAAAAATTGGTATTTCGCGTATATATTTTATGTATCAATTTTAACTTAATGGGTTTTCGTCTCTTGAGCTACACCCATATGTACTTACTTTAATTAACGTGTACAACACAAATCATTCATTTTATATGGTAGTATCGGGGAATTTATTGAATTTTTTTTTTTTTTTTTTTTTTTTTTTTTTTTTTTTTTTATTTTTTATTGATAAGTAATATTATATATTCTATAGAAAAATCACATTTAACGTATCCATGACTCTTTCATATAAAATGTGTTGATAAATCTATATGCATGCGGGACTAACTTTTCTATTTGGGGAAGAAATGGTGATATACATAATCAATTTTATCAAAATATATAGAAAATGAGGTAACAAATTAGGTTCATTAAAAACATTTCTATCTTTTTCTGTAATATAAAATAAAAATAAGAGTTCTATAGTTATATGCGTATAACTATTAGATCAAAAGAGTCAATATCTCTAAAATGATAAAAATATTTTAAATAAACCCAGTTGTGGCCTCGACCTTGTATAAGGAACTATTTTGCACTAAAAAATATTTTTTATGAAAATATTCTGTGCATAAAAATGTAGACATGTACTAAGCGATGATGCAAAATTTTAATATTAGAGTAAACTTAATAATGACGTTTTAATACAAAAAAAAAAAATATAGTATTAAAAGAAAAATAAGTATTTCCATAAAAAAAAAATGTGTGTATCACTATTTGATTTACCACATTTCATTGTGTATTTATCATAGCAATATTAATGTGAAATATAGTCGTATATATTTATATATATATGATTATAATATACATATACGTGATATAACAATAAATGTATTGAAAAGCCATTGTAATTAACAAACTTATAATATCTCTATGTTTTCTAATAAATGTTAAGTTCTTTTTATTGGTAGCTAGCATTATAAATCAATGCATAGCTTATGTTAAATATAAAAAATTAACGGATCAGTATTTATTTGCCTAAATATTGCAATATTTATTTTTTCGTTTGATTTTATAAATATTTAAAATTATTGCTATTAAAGATAGATATCTAATCTTATTATATACATGTATATATTTTATTTATGCATCTAGAAAATTATGTTTAATGTTTCTCAATAGGAAAAAAAAAGAATCTTTTGTCTTAATGTAACTAGAGCATTTCGCTGAAATTGCTTTATAAATGCTTTCAATTTATTTACGCTTCTGTCCAATGGTTTGTCAGCATTTTCAAGCGAATTACTATAGTTCACATTTGATTGCGATATTACCGGTTTTTTAGAGAAAAAGAAATCATGATGATGATGATGAGGATGATGATGATGAAGACCTAAGAATCATTGGAATGGAAGGATTTATTCCGTTACGAACATTATAACAACAAAGAAGCCAATCAAATAATTTTTTGATCAGTTAAATTTCAAGTGATTTGCAATGTGCAATACAAAAAAAAGTAATTTAACATTCTTATTTAACTAATATAATTTTCTTTTCTTTTTTTTTTCCTTCTTTTTCTTTTTCCTAATAGTGAAAAATTATGATAGTAGAAGCGGAGTATAAAAACA